GACTTAACATCATTTTAATTATAAATTATATTATTCCCAATAGCTTAGTTAAACTGAGTTCCCAATAAGCAGTGGGAAAAAATATACGTTATAATAACTACGTCATAACAAGTAAGTCAGTGTCCCTCCAGGACTTCCTTAAAGCTGAACACGATTCGTAAAAGGAATGTGTCCGCCATTTTTGTTTGGAGAATCGCTATACCTTCAGACCCCTATATAAAGGGCAGGACTTTGTCACTGTTCAGTGTAATCACTCTACACCAGTGTAGACGGACAATAATAACGTAATACTTCGTATAATGCAGGAAAAGTAAGATACCAAAGAAACTTACAATTATATAGTACAGGACAGTGCAGTGCAGTATACAAACACAGACACACGTAACTGCAATAAAATGTAAACAAATGTAATGCAAGATAACCAGCACGAACACGGGTCGCCATTCCACACCGATAACCGTGACATTTGCTTGAAGCAGTCAGGTGTGACAAATCTGAAGAGTATACCCTGGTGTTGTATCGTAGATAATGATATCGAAAATGGTGTATGCCTATTTACGAGTCGTGTTCAGCTTTAATACGAAGAGACAGCTGCTTTACTTGCAGGATATAAAAGATTCATTGTATAATTTACAACATTTACATTCAGTGTAATGTTCTTTTTGAAATTAATGAAATCTAATAGAAACCTACGTAGCTGCAGATCTGTAGCTCTCCGAAAAAATATATTGATAGACCGGAGAGCTACAGTGCCACCCATTGACAAAACTGTATATTTATTGCGCACAAAAAAGTGCGCTCGGTTCTTGATTAATTCTTCCAATTTCTTACCTCAATTGCAGAAAAGAAAAGATTTCAAAAAATTCCTTTATCCTCAATCAAGTACTCTCGTAGTTGACATCTGAACGAAGCATATTATCTTTGAAACCAAAATGGCAGTATAAATAAGCGAAACGTTCGATGATTACAATGTCAGGGTTAGGAGGACTATTAACAACAATTTTGATATTATTTGGTTGTGGAAACAGCGAAAGAATATGCTAGGAACACACGGTTAGTAATATTTTGAGATAACAGTTTTAAGAACATGGAGAAATAAATCGAGAAGCGAGCGCACTTTTTTGTGCGCAATAAATATACAGTTTTTGCAATGGGTGGCACTGTAGCTCTCCGGTCTATCAATATATTTTTTTCGGAGAGCTACAGATCTGCAGCTAAAATCTACGAAGTTCAAATTTCTATAACAGACGAAAAATTCTGAAAATACCTAGTGCTTCCGTCCCAGTTGATGCACATCAACAAAATTTACCCTACATCGAAATATTTACAAATCGGGGGCACATAAAAATTATATTGAAAATATGAAAAGGAAGAGGTATGTATAACAAATTTATTAATGTATGCATATCCCACGTTTTATTCTGCATTAGATAAATAATCGAGCGAAGTTGAAGCGAGGTGAGGCGGATGGCGAGAAAAGAGTTGCAAGCCTTCTCTCTTATTATGTATCAGTCGAAATCGATATATATGGAACGCCGTCACTGCCTTATAGCAGAACACTACTATTGCATTGTGTCAACCTTCCATTACATTATGTCAACTCTTTATGACATTAACCCACCCTACTATTGCATTGTGCCAACCTTCTATTACATTATGTCAACTCTTTATGACATTAACCCACACTACTATTGCATTGTGTCAACCTTCCATTACATTATGTCAACTCTTTATGACATTAACCCACCCTACTATTGCATTGTGCCAACCTTCCATTACATTATGTCAACTCTTTATGACATTAACCCATACTACTATTGCATCGTGTTAACTTTCCTTTACATTATATCAACTCTTTATGACATTTACACATACTACAATTTTATTTCGTCAACTTGCATTTCGTTATGTTTACTTTTCATGACAATCTTAGTTTTTATTAACTGATGTGAAAAGCTCATGCCATACTGTGCGCACTCTTCTACATTATGTCGATTCACCATTACGTTATGCGAACGCGGGTATCCTCGGCCTTTATATGAGCATAACGTATTTTCCGCGTTCCGCAAGCACTAAAATGGCGGGAGAGAAAACTGTCGTAGAAGAGATTCTCAGCGATTTCGGAATGACATCTTTAAATGAAAATTTTAAGCGACAAATGATTGACAATCTTGAAACATGCAAAGCCTTAACACTGCGACTGTGAATTAAAGTCACGTCGAAATTCAATGGTGTTTACTTTAATCTGATAATTAAATAAATCAAATATTATGAGTCGTGCAGCAATAATTTTTTTTTTCTTTTTATTTTGAATTGTTTTTTTTTTTTTATAAAAGTCTTAAACTTTGTAGGACATTGCATTAGTTTTACATTAAGTTTAGCTGAATTAAGTTGAAAACTTTTTTCTATAAAACTATAAAGCCTGAGAGCTTCTCCGCTTTCCGCCCTTGGTCTCCAACCATATACCGTCCCCCTTCCTTGTTCAAGATTCCCATATCTGCCACTGATATGTGCCCATGCATGCTTACTAAGGCATATTCAATTGATTTAGATGAGCGACTGGTAGATTTTTGTAATAGAATTCTGGCCCTGGAATGATTAAAAAAAATTACTAACTCCAGTGACGTAGCATAATTTTTTTGAAAGAGGAGGTCAGCCAGTAAAAAGATAATTTATCCGAAAAAACTAGACAAGCCAAGAAAAAAATGTCCAAGCCCGAAAATCCTATTTCGGGGAGAGTGGTCCAACTTCAATCAATCCTATTTTTTTCCAGATATATTATATTACCCTTAGTGGACGATATTTCAACAAGAAGTGGGGGTGGGGGGGGGGGTGCTGTACAGTTTCAATGAACATTACATTTTCTATAGTAAAGTTATGTCTGGGAAAAGAGGGGGGTTGATATTATGTGCCTGTAATTTGTCCTAATCAATCACGACCCCCCCCCTTCTTACCAGTCATTAAAACACGGTCGTCAACATTTATTATATACTAGATATACAGCTTTGAGATAATGTAAATGTATTTTTGCATCAGGTAATGAACTTGGAATCCACATGATAAAGAGTTAACACAATATAAAGATACAATGAAGCGCATTGAAGTGGTAAAATTTTCTGTTTGGATGAAACTTTCTGAGTCATGTTTTGAACGTCAATTATTACATAATGACACGCCCATTTCTTTAGAAACGAAAAAGAAATATTCTTCGTAATGTCCAAGGACACCCCGCTCTTTGTGACAAGCAACATGAGTTACTCCGAAATGGAGCTTTAAAAAAATTAGAAGAAAGAATTAGAGACTCCCCGCTTCTGTAAAACTCAAATTGCAACGAATATGTACATATTTTTGAACTTATCATGTCTTCTGAAGTTGCAACAACACATGTTTCTGTCGAACACGTGTTTACTCGGTGTTTATTTAGACCGTCAATTTGATTGGCTATTATATTTATGGAAAACCTGTTCTACGGGTATTCAAATAAACAAATTGACCGTTTTATCCATTTCTAAAGAAATGGGCGTGTCATAAGATGACAATAGACGTTCTAAAGATAGCTCAAAACGTTCCATTCGAACGGAAAATTTTACCACTTCAATGTGCTTCATTGTATTTTTAAATCACATAAGAAAGAGTTGGCATAACGTTATAATATATCCACATCACGGTATGGAGTTTTGACATAATGTAATAAAGTGTTGATAAAGATATGTTCACATTATGTTATACACTTCTTACACCACGTAATAAAGCACTGACATAAAGGTTACTCCAGCATGCTAGAGGTTCACGGCGAGATACTTTTGACTTGGAGCGGAGGGACGTTAACCGAGGCTCTTACTTGTAGGAGTAACATAAAGGTAAGATGTGTTCACCTCACATCATGATGCCCTCGCCGTAAAATAAAGATAAATCCATATCACGTAATAATACTTTGATATAATAGAAATATACACTCTCAAAAAGGAATGGGCTTTTGACTTCATGTGATGATAAGTTTGATTATAAAACACAATTTACTTGACGTAATGCAATTTTGACCTCACATATTAAAGAAATGAAATGATGTAAAGAAACGTTCATTTCACGTAATAAAGTTTTAACACAATGTAAACACATTATCACTTCACATAATGAATTTTTTACTTCAAGTTATGAAGTGCTGACATAATGAAAGGATGTATTTACTTCATGTAATGCAGCATTGACATGATGTTAAGATATATTTTCATCATCCCATAAAAAATGGACATAACGTAAAGATATGTTCACATCACGTAATGATAAATTGACGTAATAAATGCATAGTTGTATGCTATAAGGCAGTGATGGCGTTCCATAGATATATCTAAAAACAAGTTATAGAGACAAAAGAGTTACATTATTAACATATAGTGCATCTTAGAATAGAAAAATAGGAAAAAGGTGACTCGACCCAAGATTTTACAAGGGAAAAAAATGGGGGGAAAAAGGGGGGGATGTTCCATACCCCAAGTGCCTGTGGTCACCGCGTGGTAGAATACACAATAGGAACTATATGCATTTTCAATATCTAGGAACACCAAAATGTATCTGTTTTGACTAAATTTAATAATAACAAAAAAATACCCTATTAAATTAACTTACAGTTCAACATCCGTGAGTTTAAAATTAATTTGTCTTTTTTTCTCTCGCAAAGTTCGTTTGCGTCCAATGTCGTAAGAGGCTCTTACCGCTATTAAGCACAGCGGTTCTGTAAGGCGCTAAATTCATAATAAGGATTAACGAAATAAACAATTATGTATAGGTAGAAAATTAGAGAATGTAATTAATATTAATATACTAATATACGGTCAGGTGTGTTAAAGGACCGACGACATCTAGATCATCAACAAGTTTAAACGCCAAGCCTTGAAGGTATATATAAGTTTTCAATTATAGCGAATTGATTTTTAAATCTAAAAATACCGACACGGAATATAACGTTAACTATGGAAACAGGATTTTCCATATTGATAACTGATGAACGGATGAAATAATGTCGGCATTATCTCAGGGAATTTCAACATTTTCTAGCTGCAACAAAGCTGATTCTGTGCCGTATTTTACTCAGTATCTGAAACAAAATCCAAACGATTATACAGCTCTGGCTTGGCGTGGCCGTGCTCACAGCATTATAGGAGAAATTGGCAAAGCGAAAGCAGATTTCGAAACAGCAGTGAGGGTAACAAGACCACCCAGAAAATACCTAGCAGAAGCACTGTTAGAGAGATTATCCAACAATGAAGCTCGTCAAAAATCCCTTCTCGTTTCTACTGTAAATGAGTTTCCTAACTGCGCAGAAGCCTGGAGTGAGCTTGGGTCTTACTACCAATCGACCGATATTGATAAGGCGCGCCAATATTTTGAAAAAGCTATAAGTCTAGGGAAATCAAATGGAGAGAGAGGAGAGCCATGGTATCACTGGTGTAACAAGGATCTTGGAGATATCTATTACGAAAATGGTGAAATTCTGAAAGCCTCGAATTACTACCATGAGGCAATTCGTTGCTGTGATACTTTTACGGTGGCATATCTTGGATCAAGCCAGTGTGATATAGTAAATGGAAATAACTTCAGGGCCCAGGAGAGTTTCCTAAAAGCTAAGGAGTTGAATCCATCAATCTGCCCCTGGGAAGACTTCAGCGAATTTAAAAACGTTGTTCTGCAGGGAAGGCAACAGAGAGGTTCACATTCCGATCGGCAAAGAAGTTCAGAGACATCTGGTGTATCCGGAGGAGGGGGTTGGGGAGGAAGTAGGGGAAGTGGTGGAAATGGAAGTGGAGGCGATGATGGTAAGTTTTGGGCCGGGTAAAATTGTCTGTAATAGTATTTTTAAGCAAATGTTTTTTTTTTATGAACACTATCTCGAAAGATTTTACAACCGTGTGTTATTTTTTCCTTGCATCAGAGTTTTTTAAATTCATGTTTGAGTAAATTTATCATCTTTAAATTCATTGTAAAAAAAGAATATTTATAAAAAACTTTAGTTACTGTTAATATAAGTAACATTCACATTTCGAATCTTTCAAATATGATTTTATTTCCTAAACATTTGAATGCAAAATGCATGTTTTCATAGATGATGATGACCCCGATGGAAGCAAAATGTTGAAAAAAATCAAAAAGGAAGCACTGGAAGTAAAGAAGTATAAAGGAAGAATTTACTATCGATCAAAATGTGGGAGGTACTGGTACACCAAAGACACGGCAGGTCATGGAGGGGCTTTCTTTAAGAAGTACGAGGATAAGCGGAGTACTCTGGAGTTCGTAGGCTCGGTGGATAAAAACCTCCGAAATATGCCACGTAAACACGAATCTGCTCAGGCTCCGACAATTCGTAAGAGTGACATGGACACAGTCAATATATAAACAACATAACAAACTGTCACTTGAACCAATCTTGAATTCAAGCAACTAGTGTCTGTTCATTGAAATGTAACAATAATTTTGTAGAATTTCTGCAAGTAGAAGACTTTACATAATAATCTTCATCATCCATTTTTGGAAAATAAAAAGAAAATGAATGATACTCAGTAAGTTAGTGGCTATAAAAATGTTTTTTTTTTCTTTTAGCCATATAGAATATGTAGATTTATATATGTTTTAAAATTTAGCTTAACCGATAAATTGATGTTGTATGCATTGCTCTTGCTGAATTAGAGACCGTGTTCTTCATTTGGAATTGTATAAGTTCAGTAACGCAGTAAATGACTTTACAATACTTTTATTACTTGTAGTAGAATAATTATCGTTTCCTTTGCATGCTTGTACTTTGGAAGTTTTTGTCTGTCACCATTTTTGCTAATTGTTATTTTTTGGATACTGGGTTTTTAATTTGGTTTTTCTAAATGTAATTTGGTAGATTGGGGAGATCAACTAATGCTTTGTACAAAACTTTACATATAACTTTTTCACTGATGCATTGTGTAAGATTGATCTCCTAGCTAGCTCTTTATCTAATTCATCTTTTAATTATGTGTCTTCATTTATACATGTACGTGTAATAAATGACAAATTTATCCATCAAGCCTGGTGTTTGTGTTATTTTGATATGGATATGACATGGTTTATAAAAGGTTATAATTGTGCGCAAAAAACTAGCTTCAGTGAACTTGTAAAATTACACTGGAAAGCATAAAGGTAATCACATGTATTTATATTTGTGTTCTGTATATTGTATCTACACCTACTTGAATTAAAACAATAAAGACAATGAAAATGATCTTGCCATCGAAGAATAATCATCCCCTTTCGATTGATTACAATCGCCATGTGCTCCTTGTCATGTTCGGGAAAACGGAAAAATATGTAGACAATTCAGTACTAGACTAGTGTGTCTATGTAAATAGTGGTCTTAAAATTATATAAAAAAACTTCAGTCAACATTTAGAGACTGTATTTGCGTACACGATCATTGTATCAACCATAGAATTTGATATATGCAGATTTTAAATAGGGATTTTGATACCTGTATAATATCAGCGTATTTGTTTAAAGCTTGTCTCGTTTACAGACGTACGTAGACATAAACTCCATATGCAGGTGATAAAGATATATTGCTACGGGGGCTGTTCAATTAATTTTGTCCTGAACTCTATGACATGAAATCACGTAGAAATCATATGTCATTATCCTTGGCATTCTCTCATGATTGAATTTTCAATAAACAGATAATCATTTATTTGACTACCTTTCATCATATACATGTACTTTCATTGTAAGAAACTGGGAAAAAGGGCTATTCGATTCGAGATACTGCATCAAAAATGAATGGTAAAGAGACAGTAAACGTAAGTGAAGAAGAAGCGTAATTAAAGCTGCTGTCAAGCTTGGTAAGAATCCCAAAGTAATGTTCACTGATATATGTGATCTTTAAAACAACCAATGTTTGTCTTGTAGACATATGAGCAGGTGACCCTCAATTATCAAAAATAATGAAATAGGTATCAAAGATAACTACCGATCTTGGCAACCAGGCCCCATGGCCGTAGACTGAGAAAAAACTTAAATCAAAATTTCGAATCAACATAACTTTTGAAAATAAATTGATAACCAGAAGTCTCTGTCGAGACTGAAGCTCTGCTGATTTTTACTTATACAAGTAGCAAAGGAAGTAGCAGTTGGAAATTGAAACTTTACAACAGCAATAGATAGAATAATGATCCTTGATGTCTCTTTATGTTCTTCGTGTAGTCTTCTTGTGTGCCAAGTTATATTATAATCAGAGTAAAACTGTATTTGGGTTAGCATTTTGATAGACTAAGTATTTTACAGAAATTTCTATCTTAAGTAAACAAGGCAATAATGTTCATCGAAATCAAAAAATGATGAATAGAATTGTGTATCTTAGTTTAGTCTACTTCTGCGCAAAATTATATTGAAATCAGAACAAAACTGTAGGAGGAGTAGTATTTTGAAAGTATTTCACAGAAAGTTAAGTAAACATGGCAACATCGTTCATAGAAATCGTAAATTGATACACCGAATTGTGTCTTTTAGTGTAGTCTACTCGTGTGCCAAGTTATATTGAAATCAGAGCAAAGCTGAAGGAGGAGTAGCATTTTGAAAAATTGTTTACAGACAGACAGACGGACGACGCGGGACGCATTACTATTGCATTAGCTCTTCTCGTCTATGACCGGTAGAGCTAAAAAAAAATTAAATTTCAATGCTCATTTTATATACCAAGGATATATGAAAATCTGAACTTTGGAAATTCCATCTCACTTATAGATGGAAATGAACAGCACAACATACTATGAAAATAAAGATATCATTTTAACGTGTCACGATTTTGTTCACAAGCGGTACCTTCTTCAATGCTCATTTTATATACCAAGGATATATGAAAATCTGAACTTTGAAAATTCCATCTCACTTATAAATGGGAATGCACAGCACAACATACTATGAAAATAAAGATATCATTTTAACGTGTCACGATTTTGTTCACAAGCGGTACCTTCTTCAATGCTCATTTTATATACCAAAGATATATGAAAATCTGAACTTTGAAAATTCCATCTCACTTATAAATGGGAATGAACAGCACAACATACTATGAAAATAAAGATATCATTTTAACGTGTCTAAAATATAAAAGGTTATTAATAAGAGGCCCATTGGCCACATCGCTCACTTGAGCACTCTGGCTAGAGAATAAGCCCAAATCAATCCAGTATTGAAAAAGCTTAAATGCATAATTGGCCTCGACCTATCCTTAAAAAAGGGGAAGGGTGATTTGAATTCACTTTGATGGTCCGTGCCCTACCCTAAGGGTCATGATTTGAACAAGCTTGAATCTACACTACCGGAGGATGCTTCCATATAAATATGACCAAACATGACTTTTGTAGTCTTCAGGTGAAGATTTTGAAAATTGTTCCTATATATTTCTATGTTATACTTTGATCCCAAAATGTGCCCCCACCCTACCCTGTGTATTATGATTTGAACAGACTTGAATCTACACTTTCTGAGGATGCTTCAATATAAATAAGACCAACTATGGCTTTGCAGTTTTTGAGAAGATTTTAAAGATTTTTCAATATATTCCACTGTAAAACTTTGATCGTCCATTGTTGAACCGCCCTACCCCCGGGGGTCATGTTCTGAACAAACTTGAATCCATACTACATTAATCATAAGATGCATCCAGATTAGATCTGAAACAAAATAATCATTTAAACAATTGATTGCATAATTACAGGTAATTTAATCGTTTTGAATAGTTAAAAAATTTATTTTTCTATTTCTGTGCAAAAACATGAGCTAACGTTTGCTGTCTACATTTTTTGTCGTCAAATGTCTGATGGAATGTGTTTTGAAATATATTTATTATAAAATAAATGTTCCTACATAATCGAGCTATTGATAGTTTTCTCCTTTTTAAAAATAATTTTTACTCATTTTTTAAACACATTTTTCAAAGGTAGTTAATAAATGCTCAGCTAAAAAGAACAACAAATACTAATACATAAAAAACAGACTATAGTCTGCTGATAGCTCGGGTATAAAAATCAAAATGTTCGCTACGTGGAAAAGGAAAAAAATAACAATGGTAATAGTAAACACTATTGTAAAATTACTCCACAACCATGAACATTGCACCTCAATATTGAAATGCTACAAAACATCAAGTTCAGGATTGTATTATGGAACGCCATCACTGCCTTATAGCATACAACTATGCATTTATTATGTCAATTTATCATAACGTGATGTGAACATATCTTGAAGTAAAAAATTCATTATGTGAAGTGATAATGTGTTTACATTGTGTTAAATCTTTATTACGTGAAATGAATGTTTCTTTACATCATTTCATTTCTTTAATATGTGAGGTCAAAATTGTATTACGTCAAGTAAATTGCGTTTTATAATTAAACTTATCATTACATGAAGTCAAAAATCGATTCATATTTGAGAGTGTATATTTCTATTATATCAAAGCATTATATTACATAATATGGGTTTTTCTTTATTTTACGGCGAGAGCATCATGATGTGAGGTGAACACATCTTACCTTTATGTCAGGGCTTTATTATGTGGAGTAAAAAGTGTATGACATAATGTGAACATATCTTTATATTATATCAACACTTTGATTATGTCAAAACTCCATACCGTGATGTGGATATATTATAACGTTATGTCAGCTCTTTCTTATGTGATCTAAAAATATCTTTATATTTTGTTAACTCTTTATCATGTTGATTCCAAAAGTGCATTACCTGATGTAAAAATACACTTACATTACCTCAAAGCTGTATATCTAGTATACAATGAATTTTGACGAACGTGTTTTAATGACAGTTAAGAGCGGGGGGGGGGGGGGGGGGTGCGGATTTTTTAGGAAGAATTACCGGCACAAAATATCAAGCCTCCCCTCTTTCCCAGACATAACCGGAACTTTACTATTCATAGAAAGTGTAATGTTCATTGAAAGCACAGCCCCTATCCCCACTTTTTGTTGAAGTATAGTCCAATGAGGGCAAATGTAGTATATCTGAAAAAAATTAGGACTGATCGAAGTTGGACCCCTCTCCCCGAAATAGGATTTTCGGGCTTGAACAATTTGGGGGGCTTGTCAAGTTTTTTCGGGCAAATAAAAACTGGTGGACCTCCCCTTTCAAAAAAAGATGCTATGTCACTGGAATTAGAAAATTTTTCAACCATTCTAAGGCCAGAATTCTATTACAAAAATCTACCAGTCCCTCATCTAAATCAATTGAATATGCCTTAGTAAGCATGCATGGGCACATATCAGTGGCGGATATGGGAATCTTGAACAAGGAAGGGGGACGGTATATAGTTGGAGACCAAAAAGGAAAGCAGAGAAGCTCTCAGGTTATATAGTTTTATAGAAAAAAAGTTTTCAACTTTATTCAACTA